GCGTGCCGGGCCCGCCGCCTCGGGTGGCCATGATGTCCCGGGCTCCGCGCTCGGCGAGCCGTGCGCGGGTAAACCTCAGGCGCTGAGACTCACGCTCGTCCCACTTCTGCCTTCAGGTATCCGAGATGTCTCCAAGTGGAGTGAGAAAACCAGAAAGCCTCTAGAGGCCCTGTACGGGTTTGACTACTTTGCCAAAACCTGCGAGAAGTGGGTGGACAGCATAGGGCAGTTCAGACACCTCCCAGACGGTAGGTCTCAGCACGGTCGACGGGCCCTGGGGGGCTGGGGGCCCACAGGGGAGTGGGTGGCCCGTGGCCCTCCCGCGCGGCCCGGGTGCTGGCTCGGCGCCGAGCTGTGAGGGGGTGCGCCGGAACCTGCAGGCTGAGGTGCGGAGGTAGCGCTGTTGAGTCTTTCACAGCTGACTCTTCTCCTTTTCGTCTGAGCCTTTGTGTGTGTCATGACAGAAGGATTCTCTGGAAGCCTCAGAGTCTTTATTTGCTACTTCAGAAGGGGAAGTTAGGAGAAGCCCGCGGCAGCGCACCCCACACACTTCCCTGTGCCACACGTGGCGGCGCGGCTCTGCGCCCTGTGTTCCGAGGACGGAAAGGAGGGGCCCTGAGCCGGGACTGCAGCCAGCGCGAGGGCGCCCCACCCTCGGAGCAGGTCTTGCGGCCTCAGCCACAGCAGGTCACCCGGTCTTTACCTGAAACGTTCATCCAGTTTCCAGTAATGAGCATTACTGGAGCATCTTGAAGACAAATTCTAGGTTAATGTCTCTTGTTACTGCAATTTTAGGTTTGTGAGAGCTTTAAAAAAAATTGCGAAGCATGGAGAATAGTTAAGGTCTAGTCTTACAGCACTTTCAATTCTGCAATGGCTGTGGTTGAAGGACCAGTTTGATCTATTAGGTGCCCGTTTCTGGAGTGAGTCATCCGTCAAGACTTTCACAATGGAAAGGACATTTGGAAATGCGACTATTTTAGTTTAAGTGCAAAACTGCAAATATATCCTGTTCAAATACGTCATCCACCCGAAGAAACAGGTTCTTGAATTGTGTTTCCCTTGGCTCTTAATACAGAACACACACACACACACACACACGCACACGCACGCACGAAGCATGCTGAATAGCCGAGACTTTTCTCCACTGAATAAGGCAAGTGTGTGACCTGTAAATCTTCCTCTTTTTTGCAGAGAGGTAGAAAGATTCAAAGCAAAATTAGCCCAACAGTTCAAAAATATGTGCTGTGGTTGTTAAAATTCCAGGCTTCTGCTTTGTGAGCCACTGTCAGGAGAGTGGAAAGCTGAGTCACTCTCAGGCCGGAGGAAATACCTGCACGCCCGTGTCTGACAGGGCTGCCAGCCCGGCACAGGGCGGGCGCGCCAAGCTGCACGGTGCGAGCGACTGCGGGACATGGTGGGTGACAGCACCCACCACGCCCTTCAGAAGGCCCCAGTGCATCGGCAGGGGACCGCCGCGTGGCTCTGGTGTGGGTGCGCCTCCTCACACACCTGCCACGCCCGGCGGCGCCCACCTGGGGGGAGCCCCGCAGCAGTCTGGGCTCTGGGGTCCCTGTGGGCTCACGGTTGTGAAACGACACCACCTTGGGGGGGACACTGAGGCTGTATTTATGGGCGCAGGGGGCGTATGGGAAATTGTCCCTCTGAATTTTGAGGTAAACCCAAAACTCGTTTAAAATGTATTTTAAGGGGACGGGCAGGGCTCTGGTGGCGCCCGGCAGCCCTTCTCTCCCGAGCACACAGGCCCCGTGCTCAGTGCAGCCTTGGCCTCGTCGCCTCCGCCTCAGCGGGCCTGGGTGAGGCCGGCCCTGCCCTTGGCGGGTCCCTGGCTTCCCGGCTGGCTTCCTGACTGCCCTTGGGGGCGGGGTGGGGGGCGGCGGCGCTGAAATGCCCACTACAGTCTGAGGCAGCAGCAGGCTGTTGGGCCTCAGCGCAGTTCCAGACAGAGTGAGCGCTGGTCGCTAAGCAGAGCCGCTGCTGGTGAACAGCACAGCCCATGACGGCCAGCACCAGCACCAGCCCTCATTCCGGTCACTGTGGACCACCTTGAGCCCATAGCGGTGCCACTCAGTGTGTGTCACGCCAGGTCCCCACGCTCAGGCTCTGTGGGTTGCACTCACCGGGGCAGTGCTTGGCCCGAGTGGGCGCCGGGGTCCTGGCTTCACCCCGCTGACCCAGTTGGCAGGTGAGCCCTCCCCGCCCCAGGGGAAAGGAGGAGCCGATGTCTGGACAGCGCCCGAGGCTGCCTCACAGCTTTCTGGGGCTGCCCAGGTTTCTTCCTGGCGCAGCAGAGGACCTGTGGGGTAGGGCACGCCGTGGCTGTCGCCGGGCGCCTGCTGGCTGGACACCAGGCCCACAGCCACAGCGTCTCTCGCCAGCGCCATCCCCAGGGAACCCGGCTTCCTCATCTGATCTAAGCCGAGTGCCCAGGCGCCGCCAGGCTTCCCGGGCAGGAGTGGGCGGGCTGCCCCAGGCTGAGCCGCAGCTGCCTCAGACATGTTCTGTGAACGCCGAGGGCCTCAGCGCCGGGGCGCGAGCCGGGCTGTAGGCCTTGGGGTCCGCCCTTACCAGCTGCATGGAGCGCAGAAATGTTCTCTCGGGCAGGTAAGGGCTCTTCGTTGTGGTCAGTGTCTCTCCTGCCTTACGGAAGCTTTTCAGTGTGATGTAGTATCTCAGCGGTGTATCTTTTCCTTCACTTTCTTTGCTTCTGGGAATGTGTCTGAGGTGTTTAAAGATGTTTCTGAGATATATGTCTGTAGTGTTTTAAAAGAGCTCATAGGAATCAACAGAAACGTAGTCAACAGCCCAGTCAAAAAAATGGGCAGATAGAGCGGGGAAAGGGATCCAGAACAGTGGCGGGAGGGAAGTGCCCTTGACTATGGCGATGGCACACGGGTGATGTGGTGACGGGAAGCCCATGAGGATTACAACTGGGATGAAAGAATGCATGAAATGATGTAGACATAAACTATTGTTTTAAAAAATGGGCAGAAGAGCTAAACAGACACTTTTCTGAAGAGGAAGTGCAAATGGCCAACAGGCAGTGAAAAAGTGCTCATCATCACTCAGGGAAATGCAGATCAAAATCACAGTGAGACACCTCCACAAATCAGTGAGAGCGGCCCGTATTGGAAAAACAGGAAGCAGAACCGTTGGTGAGAATGTGGAGAAAAAGGAGTCTCCACACTGCTGGTGGGAGGGCAGACTGGTCCAGCCACTAGGGAGAGCTGTGGGGGTGGGGAGGAGCTGCAGGCTGCTAAAAATGGGCTACCCAGTGACCCGGCAATTCCACCCCTAGGGACCTACCCAAAGGACACAACAGCAGTCATCCAGAAAGACACCTGCAGCCTGTGCTCACTGCTGCACTGTTCACAATAGCTAAGATAAGGAAACAACCAGATGCCCGACACAGGGGGCGGGACCAAAGGGTGGTCTGTACTCACAAAGGAAGACTATGCTGCGGTCAAAAAGGTAAACACAGGTCATTTGTAGCAACATCGATGGGGCGGGAAGGGACCATGCTCAGTGACATAGGTCAGAAGGAACGAGAAAAACATCAATGGTCTCACAGGAGGAATGTAGGGGAACCAAATACGGGGTCAGGAACAAAATACCTGTGTTAATAAGTCTAAAAACACAAGTGGCGGGCAGCTCTAGCTCAGACACGCTCTGTGAGGGCGGGCAGGGAAGTGTGTGGCCGAGGCCGGAGGGCCAGCCCCGATGCCAGCCAAGCCAGTGGCCCTCCAAGACCAGGAGGCATGTTTCTTGGTGACACCTTCTCAGGCACCAAGCGTCCTCCGTAACGGTGCAAGCTGGGGCCAGCCCCTCTGGAGTATCAAGAGGTACGGGGTTTTCATCTGTTCTTCCTGCTGTGTTATGAGTTGGAATGTAAATCAGACCAAACTACTTTATTACAAGTAGAGCTTTAAAGAAAAACAACAAGCAGAAAAGCAGAAGTGGAAACCAAGACTGTCAGAGCCGGAAGGTAGCCACCCCGTCACATGGATGCCTTCCCACAGACTGGGGTGGGGGCTTAGGGGGCCCGGGCACTCTGAGCCCCTTGTGGAGAGTGGCCCAGTCAGGCGGAGCCGCTGCTGTTTGTCTTTCAGGGAATATCTGCCGGCACCTGCTGCCCCTGGTTCAGTGCCCCACCTTGATCGTGCACGGGGAGAAGGACCCCCTGGTGCCCCGTTTCCACGCGGACTTCATCCACAAGCACGTGCGTGGGTCCCGGTGAGTCGCCGCCGCCGCCGCTTCAGCCTCGGGGCCTCGAGAGGACAAGAAACGGGAAGGAGGGGCTGCCAGTGCCAGCAGATAGCTTACCGAGTTTGGGGGACCGGGAGCCAGGGCCCGCAGGAGCTCCGAGCAGTGGGGTACCCGCGATCCCACAGGGAGGCGTTCCCAGACGAGCGCCTCCTCCGGCGGTACAGGCAGGCGAGCGAGGAGCTGCTGTGCCCCAGCCGCGAGGCAGTGTGTTGATGGGCTGGCCTGGCTGGGCACTGGCGCTGTCTGCTGACGGGGAGGAGGCGTCGGGTCAAGCGGCACCGCGGCCGCACACCCACGCACCTACTGGCACTTGCTGTGCTGCTCCGTGCAAGTGTTTTTTGTTTTTCTATTCAACCCTCGAATCCTGCTTTTTCTCCCCACTTAAAATTACATCGTAAACCCTCAGCTTATCGCCGCCTCAGCAGCTGCACGGCTGAGCAGCCGGCCCCTCGGACAGGCCCCACACCGTCTGCCCGTGTGGGCGGCCCTGCGCTGGGCGGCAGCCAAGGGCACTGCCCTCTGCGACAGGGCCTGCTGCTCACCCGTGCTCCTGTGGGGGGCAGACACCTGTCTACACTCTTGGGGTGGCATGGGGGGGCCAGCTGTCACTGGGGGTCTGATGCCGCAGTGGAAACCCCGGCTGAGGGAACGTGGCTTTCCTCAGGCCGTGGCTGCGTGGCTGAAGCCAGGGAGGCGGTGGGCTGTTCTTTTCCTTTTTAAACTAACACTGCAAAGGAAAGGAGGGCCTGGCCCCACCACAGAAGCTACATGCCAATTCCAGAGAGGCTGTCACTTGCGCAGGCCGCCTCTGGCACGCGGTGGGATTCTTTTGGAATGACGTTTCGGGTGACCTAAGAAATTCCTTCCTCTCCATCCTCTCGCCTTTCCCTCCACGAGCCAGTGTGTGCTGCCGGCTGCAGGCCAGCACTGCCTGCACGTTGGCATGGAGGCGCCTGAGCGCTCGGGAGCGCAGGGGAGCCGCCGGAGCGCTGCCTGGCAGGCCGGAGGGGCTTCTCAGACACACAAACTAACTATATTTCACAACCAACTTACAAAAAAAAACACGTCTCCATTTACAGACCGGAGAATCGAGGCTGGCAGACCTCAGTCGTGGCCTTCCGAGTTAAGAGAACTCGCCCACAACAAACCCTCGATTTCTCTCTCCTAATATGGCGCCTTGTCCCGACAGCCCCAGCCGCACACATGGCGGTGAGGTGCTGGGTCGCCTCTGCGCGCCGGCCCCCTCCCGGAGAGCGCGCCTGAGGAAGCGCACGGCCGTTCGCTGCAGCCCTGCTCCCGGCAACGGTGCTGCAGCAGCTCGGAGCAGCCTAGTCCCTTGGCCACGTTCAGTGCCGGCCCTTCAGGAGCCGGCTGGGTGGGAGGTGTCTCCTCAGCGCATCATTCTTCGGTCCTGGTGAGGCGAGCAGCATCATGAGCAGCCTCGGCGCTCCCATCGGACGCCTCCTGCCCGCTGTCCCCGGATCGTGGCGTGGGGCGCCAGTGTCCTGTGAGCAGGCCGGTTTCTTCAGGCCCTGACAGGCGGCCGCCGGGAAGGCGTCTCGTTCCCCCAGGTCCACTGACGAGCAGACCGCAGGACCGTCTGTCCTTCCAAGACCGTGTGGCACAGGCCGGCGGCCTGCTCGCCGCGTCGCCTCTTCTCTCCTTGCGGGCGGACGGTGGGTCGGGCGCCTGGGGCCGTGGGGGTCGCCCGGCACGGCGGGAAAGCCACTCCTGTGAGGTCCGGCTGCGACGACCGTTCGCCCGTTGTGGGCCGAGAGCGCTGCGCCGCGCCCTGCGCCCACGCGCGGGGCAGGCCGGGAGCCCGGGAGCTCCTCTTGCCGCGTCTGCGCGTCGCTCTGCAGCTGCCCTGGGCGCCCGCTTGCCTCAGCCGCGTGTTTTCTTTGGCAACTTGTAATCCTCCAGCCGGAGAAACCATGGTAGCTGCGCTGCGACTCCCTTTCTGACCTATGGCCGCCGCCAGACCCGTGCGCATGGTCCCGGGGCCCGACTTCATTCAGCCTCCTAGTAGCCGAGGAGCGTCCATCGGGTGGCGTTTCCGGGTCCAGCGCCCCGGATGGGCACTCGGGGCCGGCCGGCTGAGGCTGTGACCCCGGGCGTGTGGCCTGGGGCTCCCCCGCTCGGCGTGTCCCCGGCTGCCGTCCGGCTTCCAGGGAGGCTGCGCCGCCTTGCGCCCCCGCCTGGAGGCGCTGCTGTCCGCTCGCCTGGCCGGGCCAGCCTCTGAGGCGAGTCTCTGTGACACGAGGCGAGGGGCATTTCGCGGGTGCCTGTCACCCCCCGCCCGGCTTCGGACGAGTGTCCGTTTAGACCTCCGACCGTACTGACCGCGGCGTGGTTGGTCCAGGTGGTGAGCTCCCGGCGTACCCTGGAAGTCAGCGCTCGCGGACCTGCCAGCCCTGGCCCCCAGCGGGGCTCCTCTCGCTGTCCACAGCCATAGCCGCAGCCGTAGCCGCGGCCGGGGCCTGTCGGAAGCGCCGAGATCAGTGTGGGCCGGTGGCTTCTGCCAAGCGCCCGCCCGGTCCTCACCCCGACAGGACCCCAGTTCCGTGGGCCGAGCGCCCACTCCTTGGCTCCAGGGACACGCGGGCTGCGGGGTCAGGGTCGCAGCCGGGAACCTGAGGTGTGGCTGGGTCTCTGCCAGGGAGCCGGGGCTCAGGAATGTGTGGGTGCGGGGAGCAGGAGCGGCCCAGACCCAGCTCACCTGCAGTGCCGGCCTCGGCACCCACCGGCCCTGCCCTTGCCGGGCCTGCGCTGGCTCAGGCTGGCTCAGGCGGCCACTCGGCGTCTGCCTCTCCTCCTCCTCCCCCGTGACGCATCTCTCTGAGGCAGCGGCTGCCTGCAGGCCTAACAGCTGCCGGCACGGGTGTGAGCCCCCCACTTGCTGGGGCTGCGGCCTGCTGCGGCCCCACGTGCTCGGTCCTCCGGAAAGGGGGAACGCCAGGGGCCCGGCTCCGGGGTCGGGCCAGGGGAGAGCGGGGGGGGAGCGGGCACCGTGCCCGCAGAGCTGGGGTCAGAGTCCGCCGGCGAGCTGGGAGTGGGGCGCCGGGGCCCACGTGCTCGTGGCCGAGGGGTGAGGGCGCGGCTGGGGTCCCGGGCTGCTCTGTCGCTGACGTGGCCCAAGCAGCGGGCTTGTGCTTTCTGGTCACAGTGGGGTGCTCCGAGGCCTGAGTGCGGCACCCCACGCACTGACTGCCACCGCTGGGGCTGGGGCGCGGGGCGGGCTGGGAGGGGGCCGCAGGTGGGGCCTGGCCTCGGGTCGGGGTTCCCCAGAGGACCAAGGGGGGACACACGCCACGCTCATGTGCGCGAGCACACTGTTGGCACGGTGGTCGCCGGTCAGAAAGCAGGACCTGGCCGACGGCCACAGGGCGGGCGGCGTGGAGGGCGCATGGGCAGCCGCCTTGCCCTGGCATGGCTCGGGGTGAGCCCCCGCGCTTGGAAGGGCAGCCTGAGCGAGGGCGGCCCGCGCGCTCCTTCACCCTTCGAGCAGAGGCCCTGGGGCCGAGTCCACAGGGGGCGCACACCGAGGGCACCCAGCCGCCCGCACAGGCCTTGCCGCCCCAAGATGCAGCAGTACGCCCGGGCGCTGGAGGCGCGAGGCTGCAGCCCTCACTGGCCGCCTCCGTGCGCAGGGCAGGATCCAGCCAGCGGCTGTGGGGTGCGGGTCGGCCGCCAGAGGAGGGGGCCCAGGCGCCTTGGGTGACCCCCAGAAGGAGTCATGGAGAAGAGCAGTCTTCTTCCTCCTCGCTCCCCGCCCCCCCATCTGTCCATCTGGAGCCGTGTGGCCGTGTGGTTCCCGGGGGCCCTCGAGCAGTCCCCGTCTGCCCAGTGGAGGGGCCTAGTTCTGCCTCCCGGGGACCTGGAGGGCCTGTGGGTGGTGCAGAAGTGCTGAGCTTAAAGTCCTGGGTCCTTCCTCTCAGGTGTCTGAGGGAGTTGCGCCATGGGGCTGGGTGCTTGAGAGCCGGCAGCAGGGCGGCTGCCCCTTAGGGATCCCCGCCGGCACGTCAGGGTGCCTGTGGCTTCCACAAGCCCACTGTGGCCCCGCAGCCAGCGGGGTACCTGCTTCCCGGCGAGCCCACGCTGTGCAGCGCCAGGCCCTGGCCTCGAGATGGCCTTGTGAGCTTTCCTGCCGGGCCGGAAAGATGCAGCACCGTGGCCTTCTGGCCAGTCGGCCAGCTCAGCTGGGACCCCCGCGGACCAGGACGCCTGTGCCCACCAGCGCTTCCGGCGCCGGGTTCCGGGACCGAGTCCACACCCAGGCGGTGCAGAGCCAGGCAGTGCGGCCTCCAGCGGGCGCCTCTCCGCAGGCCTCAGCTGCAGCTGTCCTGAGGCGAGACGGCGCCACCCGCCTTGGGCTTGGCACAGGGCCCCGCTGGTTCCGCTCCCACCCGGCACACAGCCTGCGCTGAGGACCGTGCGGCCCACCACGTTGGAGCAAGACCCTGCGACAGGAAGAAGCCTTCCGAGGACGGGGCGCTGGCCCCAAGGGACGTGTCAGCTGGACACCGGGGGGGCCCCACTCGGCCCCGGCGCCCCCAGGACACCCTTTGCCTTTGGGGTCAGCCCAGCCAGAAGGGGGGGGCGCTGGCGGTGGGAGGGCCGTCCGCCACATAGACACCCCCAGACGCTTCCCTTCAAGCAGTGCATCTGGGGCGTTGCATAGTTTCATCATCTCTCCAACCTTCTCTCTGAAAATCAACGTAATTTAAACTTGTCTCAGACGAGCACCAAATCCCACCGTACCCGAGACCCAGGGCATGGTGCTGTCCAGGGGCGGCCACGCCGGCCCTCCGCCTCGGGGGCAGGGAACGTTCAGGGCATATTCCGGAAGAAACTGCGCTTTCTCCTCAGCAGGAGTCATGCAAACAGCGGCAGCTCCCCATGTTAAACTTCACCAAACTGGGGCAGCTGAGGGACTCTTCAGTAGCCAGCCGCTGACCAAAGCAGTTCTCTTTCAGGCTGCACCTGATAGCCGAGGGCAAGCACAACCTGCACTTGCGTTTCGCAGATGAGTTCAACACACTGGTGGAAGAGTTCCTCCAGTGACGTCCCCGGACATGCCCCGCAGGCTCCTCGGCTCTGCCCCTGCCGGGCAGCCCACACCTCACTCGCTGGCCCCCCCGGACTTCCCGCTCCTCCCCGCAGCCGGCCACGACCCGTATCAATGGTGGCCTGCCAGTTTCAGCAGCGACGAAACCAGATCTGATTTTACCGTTAATTTCCACTGTTGCCTTAAAAAATTAGTCCCCGGGCCCTCCCTGGCGGCTCAACCATTGGAAGCGCAGCACTGTGAGGCTGTCCGCAGCCCCTGCGGCATTAGCCCGGCCAGGGAGCGACCCACACGGCGCTGCAGGCCTCTCCTGTCTCACCCGCTGCTCCCCTCAGCAGTGTACATCAGTGGGTGCGCCTGCTGTGCTCCCCGCTCTCTCTGGTGAATCCTCTCACCGCCCGGACCTCTGGCCTGTGCCTGTCCTTGTATGCATAAATAAATGAATCTTTAAATAAATTCCTGTTAATGTTGTATTTTCAAGTAAATTTCAGAGGATTTATTTGTACCTGGCTGTACTTCTAGGACACTGAACCGATGCGATACTGTTTGTTGAGAGGCACAAGCATTCGGCGGTCTCCTAACTTGCACTTACAAGATCGCCCCCAGAGCCAGGGAAGGCGGGGTCCTCGGCGCTGCACTTTTGCAAAGTTGCTGGAGCCCCAGCAAGTTCTGCTTCACCCCCAAGCTCTCCGCTTCCAGACACGGCTACTTAGGTTCCTTTAATACTGAGACAGTATTTTTATTCTATTAAGAGGCAGTGAGTCAGGGTTTCGACTCACATTTTCTCTTCAAATCACAAAGCCCATGGCAAAGTTCACAAAGCATTTGAGCACAAAGGGAAAGAAATGCTTTGCGGTGAGAATAAAGGACACACGGTTGAGGAAACATGCTTTTTTATTAGTGGAGATACTTTAGACCGAAAAGACAACACTGTAATTTTGAGAGGACTTCCATTTAGAACAGTGTGACTTTCTGACGGGCAAAGGCAGCACCATAGTGTACAAGTAAAAAGATCATGCTTGATTGACGACAAGAGAAGTTCACTAGGATGCGGGGTTTCTCTGAGAAGTCCTAGGCCTCGTCCTCGCCCTCCTCCTCCTCGAACTCCCCCTGTTCGTCGGCCGTGGCGTCCTGGTACTGCTGGTACTCGGACACCAGGTCGTTCATGTTGCTCTCGGCCTCGGTGAACTCCATCTCGTCCATGCCCTCGCCCGTGTACCAGTGCAGGAAGGCCTTGCGCCGGAACATGGCGGTGAACTGCTCCGAGATGCGCTTGAACAGCTCCTGGATGGCCGTGCTGTTGCCGATGAAGGTGGCCGACATCTTGAGGCCGCGCGGCGGGATGTCGCACACGGCCGTCTTGACGTTGTTGGGGATCCACTCCACGAAGTAGCTGCTGTTCTTGTTCTGCACGTTGAGCATCTGCTCGTCCACCTCCTTCATGGACATGCGGCCCCGGAAGATGGCGGCCACCGTCAGGTAGCGGCCGTGGCGCGGGTCGCAGGCGGCCATCATGTTCTTGGAGTCGAACATCTGCTGCGTGAGCTCGGGCACCGTCAGGGCGCGGTACTGCTGGCTGCCGCGGCTGGTGAGCGGCGCGAAGCCCGGCATGAAGAAGTGCAGGCGCGGGAAGGGCACCATGTTCACGGCCAGCTTGCGCAGGTCGGCGTTGAGCTGGCCCGGGAAGCGCAGGCAGGTGGTGACCCCGCTCATGGTGGCCGACACCAGGTGGTTGAGGTCCCCGTAGGTGGGCGTGGTGAGTTTCAGGGTGCGGAAGCAGATGTCGTACAGCGCCTCATTGTCAATGGAGTAGGTCTCGTCCGTGTTCTCCACCAGCTGGTGCACGGACAGGGTGGCGTTGTAGGGCTCCACCACCGTGTCCGACACCTTGGGCGAGGGCATGACGCTGAAGGTGTTCATGATGCGATCGGGGTACTCCTCGCGGATCTTGCTGATGAGCAGCGTGCCCATGCCGGAGCCCGTGCCGCCGCCCAGCGAGTGCGTCAGCTGGAAGCCCTGCAGGCAGTCGCAGCTCTCGGACTCCTTGCGCACCACGTCCAGGACCGAGTCCACCAGCTCGGCGCCCTCCGTGTAGTGGCCCTTGGCCCAGTTATTGCCGGCGCCGCTCTGGCCTGCAAGGGAAAGAGGAGAGTCTGACGCTCAGACTTAAGGAATTCCAAATGCTGTCACTGCAACTCGGGGCTCGTCTGAGATTTGCAACTAAGCTCCTCTGGACACTCCTTTCTGCTGACAAAAGAGCTTTTCTCTATCAGTCACCCTGCAGAACTCTGAGGGTTGTGATAAAGTACAAAGCGAGTCCTTCGGAGGTCACTCAGAGCAAGAACATAACATTACCCAACTGGTTTTCAATTACGATCGGCAAGCATCCTATAAACACCTAAGTTGGGTCCACATAAACGGGCCAGGCCCGCGGAGCAGTGTGGGGAGACAGGAAGTCGGCTCCGAGCATGGCCGGTCACAGCGTGGCCTTGCCTGGAGGTGGCTTCCTGCCCCCGTAGGGCCTCCGAAACCTCAGCCGCCTGTTAACCCTGCTTGGAAGCTTCTCGCTGCTCTTTGTTCTTCCCCCTTCAGAGGCTGCTCGGCACTGGGCGCAATTAGGCCAGGACTCTGCCGTCTGTGGGCAGTCGCACCCACATTCCAAGGAAGAACAGGGGAACCCGCCAAGCCGGGGCCCCTCCCACTGGGTCTCCCCAGCAGGGCTACGTACCGAACACAAAGTTGTCGGGCCTGAAGATCTGGCCGAAGGGCCCAGACCGCACCGAGTCCATGGTGCCCGGCTCCAGGTCCACCAGGATGGCCCGAGGGACGTACTTGTTACCTGTGGACACGGCAGGTTAGACTGGGGCTGCCAGCGGAGCCCCCTAGGGCCGGCTCTAGGTCCCCTCACAGCGGGGCTCATTAGGGTTCATTAGAGGAAACGCTCCCACCGGCGGCCAGAGGGAGGCCTAGGGAGGCCTAGAGGACTTTTCTGCTTTAAAAGAGACAGTGGCTGCTTGGCCCTGGCAGGCAGCGGGCGTCGGTAGGCGCTCCCCGAGTGGAGTAGGGTGTCTCTGCCCGCTGAGGGGCTGCCTGCAGGCATCTGTCTGCCTCTGCCCCCAGCTCGCCATGTCCACTGCGGAAACGAGGAGTCGGCCAGCACCCCACACTCACCCGCAGCCTCGTTGTAGTACACATTGATCCTCTCCAGCTGCAGGTCGCTGTCTCCATGGTAACTGCCGGTGGGGTCGATGCCGTGCTCGTCGCTGATGACCTCCCAAAACTGGAAATGCAGAAAGGCGTTGGCAAGGGCTGGCACCTTAAGTGCCAGCGCGGGTGGTGCTTCCTTCCTCGTGTGCTGGCCCAGCAGCCGTTGCAGTGGACAGTCCAGGCACCCTGGCTGCGCCAAGAGCTGCGCCCCCACCCCTGCAGCTGCAGCTGGGGGGCTGGGCCATGCGCAGAGATCGGCCATGTTATGGCGCTACCCTGGGAGGCTGGGAGGGGCTCTGGCGGGGAGGTGGGCACAGCAGAGCCATCCAGGGGCAGCAGCCCGGGCTGCTCGGGGGCCGTCAGCCGGGGCTGGGCGGCTGGTCAGCAGCCTCTGAGTCTTGGCAGGACTGAGGCTCAGGTGGCCCCAAGCTGAGGCTGCTTTCAGGAATCAGTGTCTGCGGGCTCAGACCCCACCCGGCGTGCAAGCTGCGCAGCTCTCCATCTCTGATGCCCATGCTGGCCTCCGGGCACTGCCCACAGCAGGGGTGGGTGGGAAGGGCAGGCAGGAGCGTGGCAGCGGACCGGGGGCACCGATGGCTGGCTCCATTGTGATTAGCGGCAGGAAAGGGGCGGGGAGTTGGGGGTGGGCAATATGGCGGTTCCGGTTCCGCAAGAGACCACGTCCTTGCCGGCTGCCCTCCCACACCCCTGCACCGCCCAGCCTGGCCCCTGCACGCGGTCATCACGGCCCCCACGCGCTCCCTGCCACGGCACAGCCTGGACGCCAGACATTCAGACATCACGTCTGGACGGGCTCATGTAGGGACATGTCTCACATCCTCGTCTGTAACCAAACGAGAAGCCTCCGTAACATCTGTCACCGTAATGACACTGCATTTTTTTCATTCAAACTACAGATTAAAATATGCAAATTCCACACCATGCCACTAAATCCATACGTCCGTGGCCTCGATCCAATGTAGAGACGAAGATACCCAGGGAGGCGCCGCCTACCGTCTCCAGAAGGGCCATGTGGGAAAAGGCATTTCTGGGGGCCTTGATTAAAGGCGCACGGGGCTGCGTCGCCACGCGCTTCGCGGCAGGTGGTTGGCCTGAACGAGCCCCACCCCGGGGCCGCCACCTGGAAAGGCCACTGCCACCTCCCCAAACCCCGACCGGCCCTGGGCAAGCTAGCACCCTCGGGATCCGCCACCCCCTCTGCGGCCTGCCCTTCGGCACCCGC